GGTTGGAATAGGTCCACAGTACCACTTGCTTGTAAAGCGGGGACCGTGTGGTCAGTATCTGACTGTTAATTTGCTTAGAATCGTCGTATTCCCGAAGACTTGGTACGTTGATTATGGCGTCAACCAGTGCTTTCCTTAGTCAGATTCGATTATTGACAGGTTGACGTGACATAGCTGCAAAATTTCTGTTTGTTTATTTGTTTGTTGGTGTGAAACGCAATTGGTACTCGACGACATGCAATTAACCAAGTCACCGAACCTGTCGCCTCTTCAAATGGTTTTATTCACTGCAAACTGAAAGGCAATAGGCCCATAGTTCAACGTTTTTACAAGGTATGGGTGTTTCTTCTTACTAACAATGCATGATGTATGTGCATGATGTATAAACGTCTTTGGAATATACTTGTTTCTGAATTGACGATAGAGTTTACACCCAAGCATAAAATGTGCTCATTTTCTACACATTAAGGTTACAAGATGTACAGATATTGTTAGACTTTTAAAATATAACTTTATAGATCTTTTAATCATAATATCCTGCTCTGAACTGCGCTAGCGATACTCGAAGTTTTTTTATTCAAACAGATATGAGATATTCTTCGAGTATAAATTGTTGTTTGAAGAGAGAATAGGTATATGTACATTTGCTATTTCTTAGTTTTTCTATCCACATTTGCTGAAAACAATATTTAGCTCTTTGGAGTAATAATGACATAAACATCTTGACATTTCCAACACCCTGATCCATCCATGCGTATCCAAGGTCTAAACTGAAAAGGGTGATTTTGATATTTGTTGCCCAATTATTTTTATTGCGTGAGTGACTGGCATTTTGATCCAGATAGAACAGCATGTTAGTTTTAACCAGCAATATATACAGCGCTTCAGCGAAAATATATACAATGGATATCTGCCACATTCCCCAAGTACAATACCATTTGGGGTGGAGGATCGAACCCCAATTACACGTTTACACGCATAAAAATGAACTTTTTCTACACACTCATATTTTCTATAACCCCATATTTCTGATTCATAAAGTAAAATTGGCATTATCTTTTAACAAAAACTTGAAAGTATAAATTACAAGGCAGATTATCATATTTTAACAAACTTTGTAGGATTGACATCAACACTTTCTTTGTTTTAACAGATGTAGATTCTAGATATTTATTCCAACTCAAAGTCCTAGTAAACAATATTCCAAGGTAAGTATAAGATGAAACTACCTCTATATGTGCGTCTTTGTATATCCATTTCTCTAATTTTGATAGTTTCCCACCGCTTTTAAAAACAAGAACTTTAGTTTTATTTAGGTTGACGGACAGTGACCACTAATCACAATAATTTTCCAAAATATTGATTTGACGTTGAATACCAATTACCGAATCAGAAAAAAGGACAACATCGTCAGCAAAAAGTAAAAGGAATATTTCTATTAGATCTGGATATAACTGGATGCCATTTTTAGATTTTGAGTTCATTATGAAGAAAGAGAACAAGATTGGGCTTAATACACAACCCTGACGCACTCCGAAAGGGCAATCAAACATACTTGTAAGGTTATTGCCATTGGTTCGTACACAAGCTTTAACTAATTCGTAAATGGCTTTTAATGATTCTTCAATCTTTGATGCCCACCCATGTTTACCAAATAAGTGCCAGAGTGTTTTTCTTTGAACGGAATCAAATGCCTTAGTGAAATCAACAAAACAAAACCCTGTTCTCGATGGCACTAATGTCTTATCTATGTGCTAAATCCTGTTGTTGTAGTTGCTCGTGTACACATCCACATCCAGTTGCGTAATATGTTGTTCTTTCATTTGTGAAATATCATTTTTTAGTTCAACAATATTGTCAGTTACTTTCTTTATGTCTCCTTGCACGTGTTTAAGTTCATCTTTCAATTGAGTGATGTCCTGTTTTATGAGTGTTTTCATGTTTCTAAGTTCCTCAATGATGTCACCTTAGTTTTATCAAGATGTTGTGGACTGATTGGTCCAGGGTTTAGTTCAACATCGCCGGAACACAGTAACAGTAAATTTACTGACACAGGTAGTTGAAACTGTTCACCCGACACGAGGAAATCACTGGACGCGTTGCTACTGCAGTCCGTGCATGACCTATATTGGAACATAGAACTTGCTGTGGCTATGTTATATCGTCCACAAAGGCCATCGGTGAATGTACAAACAGAATCCGAAAACACGATGTTATGAATAGCATCGAGAATGTAGGCTCGATTAGTAAGCTTACCATTCGGAAGTTCAGATCTGTGCAAAATGACCAGTGTGAGCGAGCGTCGTAGCGGGTAGCCATCTTGCCAATCTGTCTTGTCCCAGGTGGGGTGGGGTGACTTCCAATACGTTTTCTCCATGTTTCTATGTCGATCATGGCGTCTTATTTGCACACTTACGTTCCCGAAGCTTTCAGACGGTGTTGATACATAAAACTGCCCGCTTACCGTTTGTGAATACTTAGAACGTTACTAATTTCTTGTCAGCCTGAAGTAAACAACACACCTTGATGACCTTGACCTTGACCAGTCGCCTCTTACGACCACCATAGGTTGCAGGGGACCTATATATTCTATACCGGAATCTCAAAGAAATTGTTAAAATACTATGTATGATAATATAGTAAAGTTGTTCCGATAAAGTGGCTGATTTTCACGGGAAGCCCACATGGTAAAACCTGGTGCAAACCACAACAATAATTGTGTTCACAAAAGATATACCAATCTGTAGAGCAATCATGTCATTCCTTTCAGGTGGGTGTGCGGGTGTAGCACAGTGGCGGCCTTGCCTTGATCGTCCTCTGGGGTTTGTCTGGGGCATGTTTGATTGAAGCAACGGGGTACCCGCTAACTGAAGTTACAGGATTGTAAAATCGTCCATTCGTTGTCACAGTTGAGTCCCTCAGGCGAACAAGACGCATATGATCGTTTATGATCCCAGATTCGCCTTGGCGATCCAAGAAATTTAATATGTCTTGGCATTATTTGTTGTCTATTAGACGATGTTCTTCTCAGGCCAGGAACTATTACAATATGCTGAGACATATGTTTTTCGATTCTATTATTGTCTTGTCCTATAATTGATTTTGTTACATTTTACATGTTATGACAATTACACATCACCCAAAGAGCCACCTCGCTGATATCAGGAATGTTACAACTGTAAGCAATTACTTTTAGTTAACTTACTGTCGGTATTACAGGTTTTAGGTATCAAAACTGAGGCAAGATTATAATTTACGCAACTTGTGTAATGTTTGGTCGACACTGTTTCACAATGTATTTCCTTGGTAGTGGGACTCAACATATGCTCCTTGTTGTCCGAAACGTTAAAATTTGACTCAGAAACCACTGGAAAATAAGGTTTAAACATCACGCGTTCCAATAAGTTATGATACATGAATTTTCGTACCTATTTTTAATTACTCGGCCGTTTATGCAAAAAATGTAACATGAAATGGGAGCAAATTAAAGTTAAAATGAGTTAAATTTTGTGTCATGATACTTGAAATAAATAAATTTATGTATTTGCGAAAAAAAAACATGAGTTTTAAGTAAAGGAACATATTCTCGCCCATGGACCTGCCCATGGGCCTACAATGGGCCAATCTTCGAGTTTTTGAACAATTTTGTTTTAATTTTTTTTCCTTGGTATGTCCCCATGAAAACAGCATGTTTAATTCTGTAAATACCTTTGACCGAGACTGGGCAAAGACCGTAGAGTTTCTGGACATTTGGGTTTCAAGAATTATAATGGGACGTGTTCTACACATGTTCCCTATGGTCAATACGGGTACGAATAGGTTCACAGTACCACATGCATTGGTTCACATGCATGTAAAGCAAGGAACAGTGGTCAGGGTGTGTGACTTGCCCCGACGCCTTGGGACACCAATCATGCTTTCAATAGTTGCTTGCCTGATCCAGATTCGATTATTGATATAGCTAATTTAGCTGCAGAATTGTTGTTTGTTTGTTTGTTATATAACGTAATTGGGACACGACGACATGCAATTAACCAAGTCACCGAACCTGTCTACCCAACCCATACAGTCTCCTCTTACGACCATAATAGGTTGCTGGGGACCTACACATTCTTAACCGGAATCCCGACAAAAAAATAACACTATATAATACTAATACTATAGATGATCATGATAATAAAGTTAGTTTTAAAAACTGATTGATCCCTTATTGGTGACTTTCTCATCTTGTGACTGCGGGGCCTTACTATTACACATCCACGAATGTTACAACTATTGGCTCTTACATTTAGTTAACTTACTGACGGTAATACAGGATTTATTTTTATAAAAGGGTCATTTTATTATTTTACTTAACACATAAATCCATGAAATATTTCTAAAAAAGTATTGTTGACATGACGAAAGCGTAAAGGGGCCAGGATACACGCCAAAATGCAAAAGTATTAAGGGGTGATTTTCAGTTCTTGTCACTGCGTGGCCATGGCCCTGATGAATTTTGAAGCATTTTCGCAGTAACTCCAACAGTTCCTCTCGCTTACTGCTGACAATATAGAGATTGAAGTGAAAGTGTTTGTGGCGTCATGAGTAGCTTTTTGTAGTACATGCAGCACCATAATGTGAGCAGAGCACCCCTCTAAAATAATCAGGTACACTGAGTTGGTCTGTCGTTGTGACCGACGGTTCCACCGTAGCCGGCAGATCGACGGCCGTTGTTGAATAGAGCGACGTACATAATGGGGTTATTTCATTGGCACTGTCCTTGTAGAATGTTATTACACTTGGAGGATTTCTTTGCCCTGTGACGGACATTCCTCAAACTGTTGCGATATTGACCACGTCATAGCCAGGACACAGTTTTTTTAGTTCTGCACATTGTCCTGCCGAAGGGTGTGGTTCAAGGGTACAGCACATCTGTCATCTTTTGATCTCGCCGCTAACAATACCAGAATTCAGTACATAATATATGGATGTTATATCGTATTGAATTGACTTTACAGGTGAAGACTACGTGGTGGCACTGGCATATAGAGGCAAATACTCGTACATCAGGTACACAGCTGAAGAAACCGGGGGCCTGATGGAGATACAGTATCCACACTTCGTCTACAGAGCATCCATTGAAGTGCGTCCTTTCAGTGGTGGTTCACGCAGTGTAACCGATAAGATGAAAATCACTAGTGTTGTAGAAAATACAGCTGTCGTTGTAAGCGGAAGTGACGAAGATGTAAATATTCTGGTAGAAGCTGATGGTTTATTCTCTCCTCTTCCTGTATCTGTCCTTGGGACCAAGTACTTTGTACCTTCCAGTCTTGCACCTAACAGTTATTATCGATCCCTGCTACTGATAACTACACACAACATGAGCACTGATGTTAAAATATTCTTTCAAATGGGAAAAGGAAGTGTTTACGTTGTCAACTACGAATATGGTGACGGCGATACTCTGTCCATCAAACTTGATCCATATCAAACGTTGATGATACACACCCCACATGATCTGAATGGAACAGTAATTAACAGTGAACACAATGTGGCCGTCTACAGTGGTATAGACTATGCCTCGAAGTACACTGTGTATGACCAACTACTGCCTGTCAAGCACCACGGACAGGAGTATGTTGTTGCTGTAGATGACACCAAGCTGGAGCTGCAGATCATCAGTGAGCACAGCCACGTGCACATCACGTTCAGTACCGGGGCCACAGTCTCTAATGGTGAGCGTCGTCTCTATAACCGCACACTTGAACAGGGAGAGAGTCTTCACTTCACCACCACACGCCCGGTACTGGTGACACTCAGTAGAACAGATGGTTACAGCAGTGCCTTCACAACTGTACCACCTGTACACTCTTACGTCACACACAGGGGTGTTTGGCTTCAAGGTAACAATCTAAATTCAACATTAAAGATAATAACTGTGAAGACAGCGAGAGTGTTAATTAAAAACAAACAACTAAACGATCTTCTGACATGGATGGATGTACCGGGCAGCAGATACAAAGTTGGCACAGTGAAGTCAACCAAAGGGTATACATCTTATACATTCATTTCCAGCGACATCCCCTTCACAGGTCTGTCCTTTTATAATGGATCGGTCCATAACATCGGCTACAATTTGTCTGCAGAGGTAGCAGTGCAGTATACAGGTATGTGTCACAGTTTCTGTTATGATAATGGAATTATAGTTATCAACGAACAACGTTTTGAATACATTGATAAAGGTTTATGGCCTGTGTAGTTAGGACATGTGTGTAATGTTTTCATGGTGTGTCCAGTTGTCTACGGCGCCGTGTCATTTAGCTCACATACCATTATATTACTAAACTATTTTTAAAAGCGAAGTAAAGGGGCACTGATCTAAAGCAATTCTCCGGGACTGGTTGTTGCCTTTGTTATTGTTTTTTCCCGTGAGTACCCGGGTGATGTAGCAGAAATCAAAACTAGTTCGCGACCTGTGCTGCGCAAGTCGTAAGCGCATTTGTCACTTTTGATATTTGATAGTATAAGGGCGTATGGTCACAATGATCAACAAAATGAAATATTGGTTTGGAAATAATAAGGAAATGTAGGTATCTTTGTGGGTAGCATCGGTAATGATGACGACGTTTTGATAAGTCACTTGCTTGGTAATTGTGCGATTCTCGTTTACACTATTTTGACTTGCAACACAAATGAATATTTCTCCTGAGCATTGCTTATTCTATCGTGTTTATAATTTTACAGACAAAATGTGCAAAATTTTCACTTAGGAATTTTATTAAACGCCTAAATAATCAGTTATTTTACAAATCGACTGAAAAATAAGTCCATCCGTATTATTCTGACAAGTTGAACGAATTCCAAACATTTTTACGTTTAATATCATCACCAAGAGACTGAAAATGCTATGATGAAAAGTACATTTCTATATTGTTTGGCTTCTTATCCTACACAATAATTTATTGTGATGTTTTAGGCCCTTTTGATCGTCTTAATCAATTTTAGTCAATCTGTGAATGAAATGGACAGATTTTTCAGTGAAAATTACTGAAATATTTTCACATTTTATAAATTCCCTGAAAGAATCACATTTTACAAATTGACTGTAATATATTCACGCTTACAAAGGAAACGACTTGTGAAAATAACGTCTATCGCGCATCGAAGAATTTCCCAACCAAGACGTATGGGAACAAGAATGAATCTGTACAATGCTACAGCAAATGAGGGAAAGGAAAATGCAAATATCATAATTACAACTTACCAAATTTATGTGTATAATTTTAGGCAGCTTCCTTGTTCAAGGAATGAATCCGTGAATATCCACGCAAAGGAACAATATCCCACACGTCTGCATCTGTACAATGAAACTTATTCGATGTCACTTGTCTCTGTAACAATCAAATATTTTAAAATATATATCTCGTTTCGGGATATTATAACCCGTGTTCGTTTCTCAACTGATCACTTAGATTGTTTCAGGTGTTTCACATAGGTGTCAAGTCTCAAGGGTCGGCTGAGAAAGCCCACGTGACAACTATTTTCATAACGTCCGCGGTTCCTAAAAAAATCCATTGAGTTAGATAACAATGAGAAATCAGTCAGCGTATTATCGTAGTATCGTAATTAAGTATGTTGTTTTTACATCGGCACTTCACGCCATGAGTTTTATCCCTTTTTTTAGTAAACCTAGACATGTAAACACTCACTTTTGACATATCCATTGTACAAGATAACAGTGATTAATCAATCAACGTATTTTCTGTTAATCCTTTGATGACTAGGAACGATCCGTTGATTTACAAAAAAAGTATATCAACTGATCGTTCATCTCTTGCTGGGCTGCCACGTGCATATTATATTACACACATTTCACCTCACTACAAACCTGGATTTAGATTGAATAATTACCCCAGACACAATAAATGCCAAATGGGAACCTTTGTCGGGTAATCTGAGTGATGCTACCACTAATTGTACCTGTAATAAATGCATTAACTGAGCATCAAGTGAATGACGACAAATACACAAGTGCAGGGTTATACCAGAAAACGTGGATCACAACAGGGGAGTAGTAATCGTATTATCGACGCAATCCAAAATCCGAAAATACTTTCGCTGCATGAATACATTTTTATTATTAAACAATAACCATCTGGGGTATTTCCAAATGACGACATCCGATGAGCTCCGCCGTTCTTTTTGTCCGTTTGTTTAGACTGAAGGAATAAATTAATATGCGCCCTTTGTCGAAATCTTTATAGATCAATCAGTGTTCAAAAATGCGTAAAACAAATATTGCCTTCAAGTTTACAGACGGTAGCCCAGTCTCTTATCACGCTAAGTTGCGTTGCGTATCATCCGGGCACTCATGGGGAAAAAACAATAACAAAGGAAACAACCAGTCCCGGGGAATTGCTTTAGATTAGTGCCCCTTTAAAGACTCATTTCATTACAAATGGTCGAAAGCCAAACACAATTCTGTACTTGTGACAAATTTCTTTTTTGACCTATGCATGTAGGAAACTTGTCAAAGGATGGGGTCTCTTTGACTGTTGCCTTTTGATAATCTTTAACAACTTAATGTTGTAATAATCAAATTAAATCGTTTATTCTAATATATACATCTGTGCCAGAGACGACACTGGTATTTCTTCGTCTTTAATTCATTAATCATTAGGTTATCCAATACATAAACATTAACATATTAACATGCCCAACAGGTGAAAGTTACTTGATGGCAGTGGTGGAATACGGTCCCTCCTCTTATGATCGTCCCCTTATACTCGCCACTGCTGGGGAAACAGGAGGTCAGTGGCAGGTACAGGATCCTCTCGCCGGGCGTGTCTGGTCTCGGCGCTTCAATCCTTACAACACAGACTACTTTTATCCTAATACCACAACAACCAATGTAATGCTTGTGCATGTGAGAGATGAGGCTATTCAGATCAGTGGTGGAATGACCCATCACACATTATTCTCTCCCCTTCCTGTGTCCGCACTAGGCACCAAGTACATCATGTCTTCCTGTCTTCCTACTGACAACATGTACAGAAACACAGGGTTCATAGCAATCTTAGTGATAGCCACACACAGCAAGAAGACGGATGTTGACATTATCTTCAGATTGGAGGGCAACGTAACCTATGACGACAGAACGTACAGCAACGGGGACACCCTCAGTATGAGATTAGATAAGTATCAGACTTTCTCCTTAAACAGTTCATCTGATATGACCAGAACCATTGTTAAAACAACGGAAACAATAGCTGTCTACAGTGGAACATACGATATGACCTACAATGCCTTCTCTACCTACGAGCAGTTACTGCCTGTGAAACATTATGGAAGTGGGTATATTATCGCTATCCAAGATCCTTCTTACCATCGAATGCATAGGGTTACCCTGCCATACCAACTTCAAGTTGTTACTGGCCACAGTGACGCAAGCATCATGTTTAATAACGGTTCTTCCGTCTCTGTGGGTAAAGGTGGACTGTACCGTGAACAATGTGGAAGTTTTGAAACATTTTACTTCAACACCACAAGGCCAGCCATGGTCACATTGTGTACTATTGGGACCTATTATAATTTTCTTCCTGATGGGTTAATTGTAGTACCACCAGTGTCCCTCTACTCTAAACAAGCAACCCTAATAGCCCAAGCTACCAGGACAATATTGACAGATAAAGACAACAACAATGTACACGTTCACGAAACCTCAAGCACTCTCTCTACAGTTTTGAGTCCCTCAATCAAGTGGAAGGAAGTTCCAGGTACAAGATACAAAGTGGGAACATTACAAAGTGGTCAACACATAACAACAATTAGTTCAAATTCTTCCTTTGCTGTCCTTGGATACGGTAGATATGCCATATACAACGGAGGATACAATTTTAGGACATATCTTGATGCAGGTAGGTCTTTTGATGTACATTTATACGTAAAACTTAAAAGCCTACATTCCTTCGATGCATTATTTGTTTTATGTAGGTAGGTCCTTCAGTTCTTCACTTGGAGTCAACCTTCTCCTCAAGACACATGTCCATGTACCTACAGATGTGCAAGGGCAATTCTTTGAAGCAAGAATCAACAGAATTCGCATGGCCATTTGAGAACACACCTGACGTTGTAGGTCCAATGCCATGTGGTGATTTCGCACCGGAATGGTTTTCAAGTACTTAATGTGCCGATGCTCATAATATTAATCACTGGCTTGATTGATTCAGTCTAGATTATGTCTAGGCTAACGTTATACACCTGGAATATTGTTGTGTGTATTGAACAATAAACACAGTATGTACCGATTAAACTGGGGTCGGGTAGTCGATATCTGTGACTTTGCTGATTGTTATTGTGTCCTGAATACGGAGATCGTCGGTCGTTCTTTCAGTCACTGGTTTGCCTGTTCTAAGCATAATTATTTACAGGCTAACATATTGCTTATTGCAGCGTTAAGCAACTTATACTTACTCACTCTCTTATTGCCGTGTGACTGCGGAATTGTGTTAAAGGAGTTTAGATGAAAATAGTAGTTGGTCCCACAAACGCAACGTTGTCAATAATATGTAACAATCATTGTGCCTATTATTCGTATAAACGAAGCCAACTCACCCCTCTGTAATATATACTGCTCGGTATACTGCCATGCTTATGTCAGTTATCCAGACACTTCATACATTGAATTGCTTTGCTGATTCGTTCCAGAAACCTCCACGCTAGATGGAATTGTTGAAAACACGTTAAATACAGGTGATTCTTTTCAAGGTAAATGTGTGATGTTATTCCTTTTCCCGTCCGTCGTCCATCGTCTGCCATGTTTATCAACATTCTTCTTTGCCAATGAATATATATATAATATTATATTACCAATGTGTCAAAGGAGTTAAGAAAAAAATAGTAGGTCTCCACTAACAACTTTCTGAATAATGCGTAACAGTCATTGTGTCTACTATTTGTAGGTACTGAATACTGAAGTAATGTTCAAAGTGGCCTCAAACCAAACAAGCTCATACTTCTGTATGTTTTAACCTGTGTACTGCTCGGTATACTTCCATTCTTAAGTCATTTAGCCAGACACTCCTTACATTGAATACCTTCACTGATCATTCCAGCGACCTCTACGCCAGATGGAATTGGAAACAAGTTAAATACAGGGGGTTCCTTACAAGGTGAATGTTTAATGTTATTCCTTTTCTCGTCCGTCATCCACCATCTGCCATGTGTATCTACATTCTACTTTGCCTTGAAACTTATATTTATAAACATATATTGATGTATTCGTTACGCGGACCTGTTTCCGAGCTGATCATAAAAGTTACCACCATTATATCGTACAACTTAAACACAGATTTGCGATTGTTTTGTGAAACAAAGCCAAGGATTGATTATTAGCTGTCACAGACACGCTGGACTACCAGACTTTTATTAAGCAGACAGGGCATAATAACAAAGTTGTAAGTGATGTTCTTTCACTATCTTCTTCCCCAATGCTCAGCGGCATTTATACTGTTGATTTGTTATGTCTGAAACATGAACGACATTATTTCTGTGTCAAAAACAACAACGTTAATGTCAGTGAATAAAACGATAGTTGCCATGCCAACGACATCATCATTCAGTCACGTGATGAGTGCAAAACGCCATGTGTGTATATCTTGACATGTGGCCTTTAAGGAAATATTACAGTCCTTTTGATGTGTAAAAACATTTAATTATTCTAAAAATTATATTCATTTCAGCAGACAATCCGACCAACGCAGCACTGATCGTGGGAATAATCTGTGGGACTGTTATTGTGGCTCTCCTGGTCGCCTTTATATCATATGTATTCTACATGTAAGTGTTTATATTTGTAAGTGTTTATATGTTTAAAAACTGTAGTTAACTCAGATTTGTTTCCAAACGTGATCGTTCTTAACTCTTAAATAAGTCGATAACCACAACATTCAAATCGTCGAAACGTATTACAATCTCTTGAACAAGGGATATAGTTCCATGGATATACAACTTCTTTATTAAAATGAAAGCGGCGTTTTGGTGTTGATACTTACACCGGAACGTCGCTTTTATTGTAATAAAGAAGTTGTATATCCATAGAACTGTATCCCTTGTTCGTTATGCAAACTTCGAAAAGCCACTTAAAGACGTTATCTCTTAAACATGTTACTTAGCAATACCCTCTTAAAAAGTACGGGATACTTGGAAATAACTTAGAATTTCCAAACTTGTATGAGATCTAAGTTTCGAGTAATAATTGCATAATAACAATAACGAATTGGGAACACATTACAACCGGTAGTGAAGTATGAGAGTTGATGTTTTTGGATCAGTAGTGCGTACTACCACCACGTTTGTCAAACATTCATTCAATCAACGAGGCATACCGCGTATGAGACTCCCAATGGCGATTTGTGGTAGTGTGACTCACTCCTCTTGCAGTGCCTGGCCAAGTTCAGCCAACATGGTCGGCTACCTATGACGTTGACGCACACGTCTCCCTATCACGTCCCAGACGTGTTTAATGGGGGTAAGGTCTTGGCTCAGTATGTTGTCCTGTTGTACTCTCCGGTGACCCTTCCTTGCACAACATGGAGTGGGGTTCGTTCAGTCATAGTGATGCCACCCCCCAAAAAAACGACCCATCGCCAAGTCTGTCATGAGGTCTCAGGTTGACATAGGTTTAACGTTCATTTCGACGTCGCCAGACACGACCACACCTATCAAGGACGTGCAAGGTGAATCGGGACTCATCTGAACCCATGACACGTGACCAGCGACGATTACCCCAGTTTTGACGTTGTCTACCCCATTGACCTCTGTTGGCTAAATGACGATTTGTAAGTGGCGGCACAACACGTGGCTGCTGAGCATAGATGATGAGCTGCGTGTAGGCGATTTCTAATCGTTTGACCCGTACTCCAGTTGCCTGAAGTTTGCGGCAGCTTGATTCGCCGTTTGAGCTCGATTTTGTAGAGTCTGGTTTCGGATCAGTCGATCCTGTACTCTTGTCGTTGACCTCCTGGAACGCCCAGAAAGTTGACGATTGTCACATTTTGGGTGGCGCTACTGCGTGGGTCACGTGTTAACTGCGGGATACGTCTTTTCGTCACGTTTTAGACATAAACGTTCTTGCATAGGATGTTTGTCGTCAACACCTGTTCTTTTACTGGTATTAACATTTATATTTCATTATCCCCTCAATTTTTTAAGAGTATAGTTTATGAAAGTGATCGTCCATAACTACAATTCAGCAATTGGAAGACTAAGACTCCAAACAAAATAAAGTTAGTGCTGCTATGCATGCAGCCAGTAGCAGCATATATGACTGCTGTAAGTACATAAATGAGAACAAGCGACTGAGAGCATGAGGAATCAGCCACGTCACGCATTGTGACAATCTGAACCGAATTTATGTCGTCTGTAATGACAAACAGGGTGTCATTTGGACGTATTCTGTACCTCTATTCAAGATCACATGTACAGAAACAGCTCGCGATATCAGCGGTCTTATCCTGTCCCACCGGTAACATACATAGTTAATTGTGGAGTACACACAGACAGAATGAGATATGTGTGATACTATAGCGGTATCAGTCGTAGGGTATGTGCGTGATGAAACCCAATAATATTTTCGTGAACAAGGAAATTGATAGGATATAGAAACTATTTCATGCCCTTTTAAATATCATGTATCTGGCAGTAACAGATTTTAAATATGTCTGGTATCACAAGCATATGATTATTTCAGTTTTCTTGATATGAGTGTCTTAGGTACTATGAGTCATGTAAATATAGAAATCCTTTCTCAGTTACAGTTCTAGCTACCTTTTTATATTATTTGTTCAACCCCCCTCAAACATAAACCATAACAAACAGCCATTTAACTGAGCAAGCTTCTGCGTGATGAGTTTTATGATAGATTATTTCTCTCTCTAATACACCCTGTGCACTGCCTAACACTGTAGTCCAATCCCTTCCTCTTTCAAGTCCCTTTGTCTTTCTGGTCAGATAAGGTAATCAGCTAATCTGTACACTGGACACCTTAGAAGTTCTGGGGTCACTACACATATATTCTTTGAAGGATACAAGCGTATCTTATTCTGTTTATCATTGTGAATCTGAAGAAAATGATTTAATACTTTAATACTCGCTGTTTGCATGTATCTTACGTTGGATTAACTACGGTAATTTTTGTGACTGTTTCTCTTTTTAAGCCGCAGGAAGATGATGCCAGTTAAGAGAGCTGAAGCACAAGGCGCCGATGCTCCCTCGACCTCCAATATCTACACGGTGCCTGACAGTGTCGCTGAAGGAGTAGCAGATGAGGCCACCTACACGGAGATTACAACTAACTGCACACCTGTCGACGTTAGCATCGCTGACAGTTCTGCCATATATGTCAATTTCGAAGGCGGAAAATAACTCGAAACAATGCAAACATGAATTAGAACTGTTATAGAAACCGATTCTGAGACATTTAGCTGTCTTATTGTAAATACAGTAAACTACGGTTATAACGAACTCGAAGGAACCACTAACTTTAGTTTGTTATAACCGTAGTTCGTTATAAGCATATATACAGCATAACTATAGCAAATAGTCGGGACCAAAAAATCATTTCGTTATATCCGTCAGTTCGTTATAAGCGTGTTCGTTATAAACATACTTTACTGTAGATACATTCTCTCAAACACACTGAGTAAACATTCATGTTATAAATGTACATATGTTTTATTTTCATAAGGATAAATCTTAAGTCGTATTCATGTGACTTTTAAGAGTTTATTTAACAATTAGGACATGTATCAGAAGGCACAAAGAGCTTTGATTGTATTACATTTAATTTCAAAAGGTAAGTACTGTCGTATTAAGGTAATGAAATTGCATCTGCTACAATTTGAGTAAAGTACAAGGCATCAACCAGGACATGATTCACGGACATAGCTGCCCCCAACAACTGAAATTTATATAACACAGAATGAAACATTTCAATGTGTTCTTTGTCTTCAGGAACAATCTCTGACCGTGCCATTTAACTAATATGTTTTTAGAACTGTCAGATGAGGGAGTATTTATTGAACGGGTTCCAGACCAAATGTGGTTTTATTTATATCATCATGTAAAGTAGGATCATTCACAGTACCGCTACAACATGTTGAAGATGGAAACGGTTTCTTTGTTTCGATTTGCCAGTTGATTAAATCGGCATCTGTGAAAGGCTGCTTTCTCTCACCATAATTAATCAAAATTGTTTTTGTGTAAAGGAGTATCCCCGACCTCTACTCATTGGAAAAGGAAGAATGAATTTCGGAAACAACATTGTGAAGCCTCATTTTAGTTTTTAGGGTACCATTTCCCTCACTGGGCTACAATTGTGAATCTGGGTATCGATTTGACAGCAGTGGAGATTTTAATACTTTTTATTTTTGGGTGTAGCAACTTTGTATTATATTCGTTATGTTTGATTGTTTTATCATATTTTCACTGCTATACAATGACTTAATATTACATTTATTACATATGTTTTTTTAAGATAATACATTTTCAGCTAGTATTTGTAACCATATATTAAGAGGTTATGTAAAATGCTCAACATAAGACTTTTCAGCATGCTCAAACCAACTTGATTACAAACCAGTTATATATGGCGGTACTCGAGGAAGTCTTTATGAACTGGTCCCATCTGCATGTGTTGTTTTTGTAGATATTGCATTGTTGCGCGGATCGTTCACGATAAGGCTATTTGGTGTTAAGGGGCGTCCTTAAAGCATCTCTCTTTAAAAACACATTTCAAGTTGTTGTAGTGAGTATCCCTGACATCCATTTCAAGGAAAAGCACCGCACTGGGGTTAAATCGATATTATTATATAGTTATGTTTAATTCCAGAGTTTGCAGAGTTCTATACCCAAGCTGTGTGACTATATTGATGTAAGCGGGACAGAGCAACACTATAGCAGTCTCAAGCTAGATTTGTTTTTAAAGTTTTCTTAAATTGGTTACTTGAGTTACTAGTGTCAGTTTGACAGTGATTAAATTATGTCACATACGGTGATGTGGGAGGATAGCTTTAACTGACGGTTGAAGATGTTTAATTCTTGACTAATACGGCTGCTGACCTCCCTTCTGCTGGGTGTACTCTCACTAACACGGCTGATGTCTCCCCTTCTGCTGAGTGTACTCTCACTGACTAACACGACTAGCAACCTTTCATTGTATTTGACCATGTTTCTTATGATTATATTGTTTATTGTTTACTTATACGATTCAACATTTAAAATACATTCTAATGATTAACTCTTGTTATATTTATAGTTTTGTCATTTATTCATATATGCATATCTTTATATATGATATATTGGTATCTCTTTAATTTGCGAGAGGTTATTTCTAAATTTAAAGACCACCCCTTAAAAACATTAAATCACCTTGATGCTTTTGAGAGATGATTTGGTTTAAGATCTGATGTCTTCAAATTGTTGTCATTGATTGTCATTCCCATTTTAATATGCTAGAACCATAAATGTTTCTTAAATGTTTTATTTTCTTAGAATTAGCTTATTTACATCTTTCAATAAACTTCTTTGCAAAGTATGAAGCGGCGTTCATCATTTGTAACAGCTGCGGGGTACTGCAGACTCCTTACTTGTCTTGACTTGTACCATCATATATGCCTGTGTTTGTTCAGGTGAATAATTGACTTCCTCTGCGTGTGTTTGTGACAAGTGCCGCAGATGGGGCCATGCATCATCACTATTTGATAATGATTTAGAAACACATGCTCATCATAAAGACGAAAGCGTACAATGTATCTTTCTTTCAGCAGAGGTTTCTTGTGATTAAGGCAAAGGGCTGTGTCGCCTGTATGTTATTGGTATAAGATGAGGAAGATGAGGTTAGGTGTGTTGTGATTACTTGCGGAAGGAAACTTAATCTGGTTGAAATCAAAGTGGATCATTGCATGCAATAACAGGACCAAAACCGAACCATACACGTTACAGATAAAAGGAACACAACCATTTCCATAGTCCTAATCAGGTGCCAGCGAAAAGTCAAATTCAAAGGCTGGTCATGATCAATTGTTCCCCCGAACTTAACAAGGGAACAATAAGGACAGGTAAAACGTAAAAGGTTATTCAACTCGGGACAGATATTGAAATACATATAAAAGCTTGTTTGATAGTGTGGCTGACGGGATTAGTGTCACTGAGTGAGAGTGAACCAAGCAGAAGTATGGTCAGCAGCCGTGTCACTGAGTGAGAGTACACCCAGCACAGGGGAGGTCAGCAGCCGTGTCACTGAATGAGAGTGCACCCAGCAGAAGGGAGGTCAGCAGCCGTGTCACGAAGTGAGAGTGCGCACAGCAGAAGGGAGGACAGCAGGCGTCTCACTGAGTGAGAGTACACACAGCAGAAGGAGGTCAGCAGCCGTGTCACTGAGTGGGAGTGCACCCAGCAGAAGGGAAGTCAGCAGCCGTGTCACTGAGTGAGAGTGCACCCAGCAGAAGGAGGTCAGCAGGCGTGTCACTGAGTGAGAGAACACCCAGCAGAAGGGAGGTCAGCAGCCGTGTCACTAAGTGAGAGTTCACACAGCAGAAGGGAGGACAGCAGCCGTGTCACTGAATGAGAGTACACCCAGCAGAAGTGTGGTCTGCAGCCGTGTCACTGAATGAGAGTACACCCAGCAGAAGGGAAGTCAGCAGCCGTGTCACTGAGTGGAAATGCACCCAGCAGAAGGGAAGTCAGCAGCCGTGTCACTGAGTGAGAGTGCACCCAGCAGAAGGGAGGTCAGCAGCCGTGTCACTGAGTGAGAGTATACCCAGCCGAAGTGTGGTCAGCAGCCTTGTCACTGAGTGAGAGTGCACCCAGCAGAAGGAGGTCTGCAGCCGTGTCACTGAATGAGAGTACACCCAGCAGAAGGGAGGTCAGCAGCCGTGTCACTGAATGAGAGTACACCCAGCAGAAGGGAGGTCTGCAGCCGTGTCACTGAATGAGAGTACACCCAGCAGAAGGAGGTCTGCAGCCGTGTCACTGAATGAGAGTACACCCAGCAGAAGGGAAGTCAGCAGCCGTGTCACTGAGTGAGAGTGCACCCAGCAGAAGGGAGGTCAGCAGCCGTGTCACTGAGTGAGAGTATACCCAGCCGAAGTGTGGTCAGCAGCCGTGTCACTGAGTGAGAGTGCACCCAGCAGAAGGAGGTCTGCAGCCGTGTCACTGAATGAGAGTACACCCAGCAGAAGGGAGGTCAGCAGCCGTGTCACTGAATGAGAGTACACCCAGCAGAAGGGAGGTCTGCAGCCGTGTCACTGAATGAGAGTACACCCAGCAGAAGGAGGTCTGCAGCCGTGTCACTGAATGAGAGTACACCCAGCAGAAGGGAAGTCAGCAGCCGTGTCACTGAGTGAGAGTGCATCAAGCAGAAGGGAGGTCAGCAGCCGTGTCACTGAGTGAAAGTGCACCCAGCAGAAGGGAGGTAAGCAGCTTGTCACTGAGTGAGAGTGCACCCAGCGGAAGTGTGGTCAGCAGCCGTGTCACTGAGTGAGAGTATACCCAGCAGAAGTGTGGTCAGCAGCCGTGTCACTGAGTGAGAGTGCACCCAGCAGAAGGGAGGTCAGCAGCCGTCTCACTAAGTGAGAGTGCACACAGCAGAAGGGAGGTCAGCAGGCGTGTCACTGAGTGAGAGTACACCCAGCAGAAGGGAGGTCAGCAGCCGTCTCACTAAGTGAGAGTAAACACAGCAGAAGGGAGGTCAGCAGGCGTGTCACTGAGTGAGAGTGCACCCAGCAGAAGGGAGGTCAGCAGCCGTGTCACTGAATGAGAGTACACCCAGCAGAAGGGAGGTCTGCAGCCGTGTCACTGAATGAGAGTACACCCAGCAGAAGGAGGTCTGCAGCCGTGTCACTGAATGAGAGTACACCCAGCAGAAGGGAAGTCAGCAGCCGTGTCACTGAGTGAGAGTGCACCCAGCAGAAGGGAGGTCAGCAGCCGTGTCACTGAGTGAGAGTATACCCAGCCGAAGTGTGGTCAGCAGCCGTGTCACTGAGTGAGAGTGCACCCAGCAGAAGGAGGTCTGCAGCCGTGTCACTGAATGAGAGTACACCCAGCAGAAGGGAGGTCAGCAGCCGTGTCACTGAATGAGAGTACACCCAGCAGAAGGGAGGTCTGCAGCCGTGTCACTGAATGAGAGTACACCCAGCAGAAGGAGGTCTGCAGCCGTGTCACTGAATGAGAGTACACCCAGCAGAAGGGAAGTCAGCAGCCGTGTCACTGAGTGAGAGTGCATCAAGCAGAAGGGAGGTCAGCAGCCGTGTCACTGAGTGAAAGTGCACCCAGCAGAAGGGAGGTAAGCAGCTTGTCACTGAGTGAGAGTGCACCCAGCGGAAGTGTGGTCAGCAGCCGTGTCACTGAGTGAGAGTATACCCAGCAGAAGTGTGGTCAGCAGCCGTGTCACTGAGTGAGAGTGCACCCAGCAGAAGGGAGGTCAGCAGCCGTCTCACTAAGTGAGAGTGCACACAGCAGAAGGGAGGTCAGCAGGCGTGTCACTGAGTGAGAGTACACCCAGCAGAAGGGAGGTCAGCAGCCGTCTCACTAAGTGAGAGTGCACACAGCAGAAGGGAGGTCAGCAGGCGTGTCACTGAGTGAGAGTGCACCCAGCAGAAGGGAGGTCAGCAGCCGTCTCACTAAGTGAGAGTGCACACAGCAGAAGGGAGGTCAGCAGGCGTGTCACTGAGTGAGAGTACACACAGCAGAAGGGGGTCAGCAGGCGTGTCACTGAGTGAGAGTACACCCAGCAGAAGGGAGGTCAGTAGCCGTGTCACTAATCGAGTGAGTGCACCCAGCAGAAGGGAGGTCAGCAGCCGTGTCACTGAATGGGAGTGCACCCAGCAGAAGGGAAGTCAGCAGCCATGTCACTGAGTGAGAGTGCACCCAGCAGAAGGGAGGTCAGCAGCCGTGTCACTGAGTGAGAGTGCACCCAGCAGAAGGGAGGTCAGCAGCTTGTCACTGAGTAAGAGTGCACCCAGCAGAAGGGAGGTCAGCAGCCGTGTCACTAAGTGAGAGTGCACCCAGCAGAAGGGAGGTCAGCAGCTTGTCACTGAGTAAGAGCGCCACAGAAGAAGTTTTTAAGCTTACTTGTGTAATGTGTGGTCGAAGTTAGAGAGTTTACGTGCGCCTCAGACACTGTTTCACGATGTATTTTCTTGGTAGTGGGACTCAACATATGCTCCTTGTTGTCCGATACGTTAAAATTTGACTCAGAAACCACTGGACGAATAAGGCTTAAACATCACGTGTTCCAATCAGTTATGACACATGAACGTTCGTACCTGGCCGTTTATGCAGAAAATGTAAAATGAAATGGGAGCAATAAATATGTTTATTTGTTCATTTTTTTAATATCTTACCTTTGTTTTGACCATGATTTT